AGGCAGGTCGTATTTTGGTAGAGACTGTTTATAAATTCCAGACCGCATCTCACTGTCCAGCATTCAGAGGTGACAGTCATATGGAAGACTTAAGGAGGTTTGCGCCAGATATCAGGAGTGAGGCAGAGACCACAGCTTTGGTAATCCCACCTGACCTTTCACACACACACACACACACACACACACACACACACACACACACACACAGTCCGGACTTCCTCCATGTTTAAATGGAGATGGTTGAGAAGGACTGCCCCACATGCACCAGCATCTAAAAGCCTTTTGATGTCTCTTTTCAAAGTGCTCCCATCAGAGAGCACAACACAGGGAGCCTCACACAAGTGCTGGAGAGATGTGAAAAATACTGAGGAAAGTCAAACACCCTGTCTTTACCTCCCATACCTGACTGACAAATATCGGATTTGACAGGCTAAAGATGAGACAGAGAAGCGTCTGTCCGCATATGGACACATTTTTATTAATCCACTTACTGATTTTATGCAACTCTTTGCTTATTAGAGGATGGAACATTTCTCACAAAGTGACCTTCATAATTATCAGATGCTTTTCAGAAATGAAGTAACACATTATTCAAGTGCTATAAATATGTAGCTGCAGTCACTATCAAAAACATCTTAATTAAATTTCACATAATAATACATATGAATCAACACAAAAAAGTACCACAAAGCTTTACTACTGTCACATTCTCTTTATATTTGAAGACTTTTCTTTCTTCACATGCTTCATGTTTAGTTCCTGTATTTAGTTCCTGGCTGCATCCGAAACTCTCTAATCTCTAGAGCAAGTACTTATTTTATAAGTATTTACATTCATTCGGACACACTTCTTTTGTCACATACTGTTTTTCGCCAACTGCATAATAGAGAAGTATACGGTTTTGCAGCCACTGTTTCTTGTTTTTTCATGATTTCTAGTATGTTTTCATTGTTTGCCATAGTTATGTTCCACACCTGTCTCTAGTTTGGTTCGGTCTGTGTATTTAAACTCTGCTCAATTGCTGTTTATTGGTGGTTATACTGTCTTTGCTGTTGTGTTTGCCATGTTAGGTTGGATTCCTTGTTGTCACCTTTGTTATTTTAAAGGCACAATATGTAATTTTTTTGCCACTAGAGGGCACGTATTCAAAACAAACAAAGAAACAAAGGCGTAGTTTAATGACGCCGCGACTGAGTGTGGAATCATGGGAGTTGTCGTCTTCATCCCCACAGCCGAAGCAATCCGACGGGACTCGGGCAGAAATCATGTTCATGGATGAGCTAATGTATTAAAGATTTATTAACGTCGTAGTATGAAGCAGAGTGAGGCGGAAAGCCATCGAAGCAAAACGAGGCCACTGAACGAGCGCGACACACGGCTCGAAAGCAGCGGAGCTTTTATTATGCCACAGTCGACGGCTTCCGCTCCTTCCAGAAAGCAGCGGAAGCAAGCAGCGCTGTTTTATCATATTAGATACATTTGAACGTTCTGTTATAATGCTACTCTGTGCGGTCGTCACCTGTCTAATAAAATGCATAGCATATTAAAGCGTCTTTGGTGTTTCCATGTTTTCTACAAAACAAAACAGTCAATATTAATTGTGTGTTCTGAGTTTATCACACCACAGAAAAATGTGTTAAACACTCCGCTGGCAGCGCTGAAACCACAGCCACTCGCGGAAAAGCTGCCGTCTCTCTCTCAACTGTCTTCCTCTGCAGCTTATTTAAATGAGGAGACCGAGCTGTTTTGTAAATTATTGCAACCAGGTATTATGCATTTACGTGACGAAGGCATAGCTAGTTAGCAACCTCTAGGCTAACAAATGGCAGTAACTTGCGATTGAGCGGGCAAACCACTGCGCTGTAGTTATTAGGCGTGTTCGACTTGAAGCAGGGCTGTGCAGAACGATCAGTGTATGACACGAGAGTGATTCGAAAGCATGAGGAGCCGTCTGCTCTCTATAGCTCTGTACTGTGATATCTCACATCGATCGATCTGCACAGTGCTGCTTCAAGTCGAACACACGTCTTGGTGTTAGGGGAGGAGCCATGCTCGGTGGCTCCATTGCGTCATCGAGCCACCGTTTTAGCCCCGCCCAAAAAATTCTGAACACGGAATTGGTGAAAAACTGTTTAACGGTTTAACTCCACAATTCAGAACTACATACTTCAGAGTCTTTGTAATGCGTTTCTGCAATACATTTCTAACATTTATAATGTGTTTAGAAACAATTCTCAGAATTCTCTTTACACGGACTTCAAAGCCTTGCTTTTGTTATACTTCGCTTGAAAGGTGTGTTTATGTTATCTTTTTATTAAATGCAATAATTCAAAAGCAGCAGTAGAGACTTTTTACACTGTTAGGATTTGTAATTCAAATAAATGCTGTTCTTTGGGACTTCCTAAAGAAAATTTATTTCCTCAAAAATATTAGGCAGCACAATCATTTTATAACTTTGATAATAGGATTTTTTTTTTTTTAAGCAGCAAATTGTCACGGTCGGTGGTAGTGTGAGGAGCGCGGAATGAGGAGACCAGGAGTACTAAACCAAGGGATTTATTCTTGTCACAGGGAATCACACGAAGCACAAGGAGAAGACATCAACGTACAATTCCAGACCAGGGAGAACTGAACGGGCTAGAACTAAATAGGGTAGATAACGAGGGGCAGACAGGTGATGGGGATAACTAATAACAAGGAACAGGTGATACTAATAATGTGAAAAGGAACTGCAAGGACCAAATAAGGAAAACAGGAACATACACGTGACAGATCGCCCTCCAGGGCGGATCAGGAAGCCATGGCGGAGCAGGCAGTTCGGGTTGCCATGGCGGATCAGGGGGCTCGGGAGGCCATGGCGGAGCTGGGGAATCAGGAGCCCTCTGTGGGCTTAACGGGGAATCGGGAGCCCTCCCTGGGCTATACTCAGGATCCGGAGCCCTCCCTGGGTTTAACGGGGAAACGGGAGCCCTCCCTGGGCTTAACGGGAAATCGGGAGCCCTCCCTGGGCTTAACAGGGAAACGGGAGCCCTTCCTGGGCTTAACTGGGGATCAGGAGCCCTTCCTGGGCTTAACTGGGGATCAGGAGCCCTCCCTGGGCTTAAGGGGAAATCAGGAGCCCTTCCTGGGCTTAACGGGGAGCTATACTCGGGAACAGGAGCCCTTCCTGGGCTGAACTGGGGATCAGGGTAGCGCTGACGTGGTGCTGGCACTGGAGGGTGCTCTGGAGGAGCAGGCACAGCAAAGCGCTTTCGAGGAGCCGGCACCAGGGGGCGCTCTGGAAGGTGCTTACGAGGAGTGGGCACTGGGGCTGGAACCGACACTGGGCCCACATGAACGGATGGTGGGCTTGCCATATTAATGTTCAATGGGCTTGCCATATTATTTTCCGGCGGGCTTGCCACATTAATGTCTGGCGGGCTTGCCACATTAACATCCGGCGGGCTTGCCTGAGGAACGGCCGGCTTAATTGACTCAGGAACGGCCGGCAGATGGGTCCCGGATCGGGATCGGAAGCTCTCCAGACACCGGATGACTCCCTCCTTCCAGCCGAGGTTGGTGGTGTCTGGGAGCTCCGCGGGACGATGGTAGGTTATCCCGATCCGGAACAGCGTCAGGAGGGTTTCTCCCTCCAGGGAGCTGGCGAGGGCGAGCGGCACGAATGCCTTCGTGTAGAGAATTGTGTCGGGGTTCGCCTGAGCCACGGCGATTAACATCGCTCGTTCCTCCATTTGGACGGGGAGAAACGAACGGGAAAACAAAACAAAAACACTTTTCAAAAAACGAAAAACAAACACGGGTAGAAGGGGTGCCGCTTATCACTTTTTGGTCTGGAATTCTGTCACGGTCGGTGGTAGTGTGAGGAACGAGGAGACCAGGAGTACTAAACCAAGGGATATATTCTTGTCACAGGGAATCACACGTAGCACGAGGAGAAGACATCAACATACAATTCCAGACCAGGGAGAACTGAACGGGCTAGAACTAAACAGGGGAGATAATGAGGGGCAGACAGGTGATGGGGATAACTAATAACAAGGAACAGGTGATACTAATAATGTGAAAAGGAACTGGAAGGACCAAATAAGGAAAACAGGAACTCAACGGGAACATACACGTGACGCAAATCAGCATATTAGAATGATTTCTGTAGGATCATGTGACACTGAAGTCTGGATTCATGATGTTGAAAATTCAGCTTTGCATCACAGGAATAAATTACATTGAAATATATAAAACAAAATAGAGAATAGTTATCAAAGTAGTATTTTATAATATTACTATTTTTTACTGTAATTTTGATCAAATAAATGAGGCCTTGAGAGACTTCTAAAAAACATATTAAAATACTCTCTCTCTCTCTCTCTCTTTCTCTATTCAGTAAATCTGAATATTTACACCACATACCGACATTCTTTAAATGTAAACATATGGTATTTACCTAGGATGCATTAAATCTATCAAAACTTACTGAACTTTATAATTTTCCAAATGAATATTTATTTATAATGCTATGCAATATTCAAACTCTCTGTTCATCTAAGAATCCTGCATGTGCAGCACTGACAGCTCCTGCATTATGGCAGTCAGTTATTAATATATTCAGCTGAAGTTTCATCTCATGCATGCGTTCAGCATCACTGCCCATGGGTGTTATTGACTTATATGCTTTTTACAAACGTCACTGTTCACACAACAACTGAACACCTCAAATTAGATTAAAATGATTGCTTAATTGGTATCACGAACATCAAAATATAATACAATGCTCAAAAGTTATGTTGGTAGAGAGAGTGAACTGTAATCTCTAATACAAGAAAATAAGATGTGAAATCGCTGGACTTTTGACTGCATCATTAGTTGATTCTCCTTACTAAACTGACAGAAGAGACTGAGAACACAATTAATGAAAAACCACACAGAGAGCGAGAGAAATAGAGTAAGCGAGCGAGAGAGAGAGAGAGAGAGAGAGAGAGAGATTTATTAATAGATCTCTTCACCTCTCCTCTCCAATATAAGAATCTTCTCTGGGTGTTTTTGAAAAGATGACAGAATGTCAATATCAATAACTTCTACGTCAGGGTAGTGCAACCTCAGGGCTCCAAACGGCTGAGCCCTAAAAACATTCAGGCCAATCAAAAACACCTGTTATGAAAGGAAGCATGGCGTGACAGAGCTTTAGACAAGCAAACTTCAGAGTCACCAACCTGCAGGGCCTCTAGAAAGCGGAAGGACCCGAGCCGCCTGCCCCGAGGAACAAGGCAAAAACTGGAGTTGTGTAGCAGCTCTTGATAATCAAACCTGTGGACACAAACAAAAACACAACAAATAACATTAGAATCTGCCCATTAAAAAATCCATACAAAGACATCTTGTTTTACATTTGTTCGATTTCATTTTCATAAACTGTTACTGTCAATTTTAACCTTGAAAAATTATGAGACTGATTTACATACATGCACATACTCATACTTTTACACCAAATGCACACACAAGTGGCCAAAAGTGGGTGGGGCTAATGGTAAAAACAATCACCAATCAGCAATCATTCACGAGCATGTTCACAACCATTACTTTACTGTTCAACAAAATGCCAGTGGTTCTCTCTCTCTCTCTCTCTCTCTCTCTCTCTCTCTCTCTCTATATATATATATATATATGTAATTAAT